CTTGAGGCTCGGAGCACATCCGTGCTTTGCCCTGGTTTCCGCCCTCCTACCTCTATTCACCAAGATCTGTGTCGGTTTCTCCTATGTTTTGACTGCAAGGACTAGGATACTGCTGATAAAGTAATATGTCATTGCTAGGAGATCTAATTCTAGTAATCATATTTACGAAGACCAGCAAATAGTATACTGAATACAGCTTGTACCTGCACGCTGGAAATCGGAGGCTAATAAGCAGTCACAACCTATATCGGACAAATAGTGGACTGAAAGGTTAGGGAAACGTTTATTTAATAATAACTCAAGTTCTACAAATGCCTTTAGGTCGCAACGTAGAACTGCACGCAGTAGCCACGCCCCAATAACTGAGTAAATCTACTGTCCTTTCCGCGGCATGAACAATGCTGATTGTGGATCCAGAATCTCAGGTGACAAAACTTTTTCCTCCAGTTAACAGAAAATCCTCTTCCTACTCTCAGCAAAAGATATATACAAAAATTATAATAAATGATACCCACCTGTAGGTAGGGACCGCCAACAGGAACCCCACCGAGCGGAATACCGGTGCCGCCTTGGAGATGCTGTTGCATTTGGGATGCTTGCCGTAATTGGTAAAACTGTTGGGAGGCGGCGTTCGCGTTCATTAGGTCCCCTGTTGAAACAGAAAATGAACAGCCCGAAGTTAGAGAGAGAGAGAAGTCCTTAACGCGCTTGCTTTTCAACATACGGCAGAGATTAAAAACGTTGTTTCCCAGGTACGAATTTAAAGCAAGCGAACACAGCAGGATTTATTTGTATAAATACATTTCGGGACAGCTTTTCAACTGCTTCCTGTATTTGCAAGTACATTGGCCGTACGCAAAGGCAATTGACGACCACAGCCGCTAAAAATTGACCTAATTGACTTTTTAAACACGAAAACAAAGTGCCACGGTCCTCCATTACAAAACACCTGGTAGACAGTGGTCACTCTGTTGATCGCAACATATCTTTCCGAGTTCTTGTTCGAGCACGAACAAATTGGACCTTGCGCTACATGGAATCAGCCTATATACGGCGGGAGAAACCCGACCTATGTAAGCAGTTAGACCATATGGCTAATCTCCAACTGCCCAGGTGATCACATGCCTACATTTATTTAACCCTTGATTTTTGTTAATTCCCGTCCCTACCTTTCCTTCCCAAGTTTAAAGGCGACATTATTATTGACTATTCGCCGCGCTGAAAAATTACTTTGCTGTTATTGATTCTGTGAAAATTCAAACTGTTGTGTTCTCCAATTGTTACTTTATTCATGCAAAGACAAGAAGCAGTTGACAAGCTGCCCCAAATTTATTTGTACAAATAAATCCGGCTGTGTTAGCTTGCTTTAATTGAGGCAGAGACTCGAAAAATCAGTTTGTCTGGCGGCGTATAGTTTTTCCATTGGGAATACTTAGCGTCACAAATCTGGAAACCAATCCGCGCATTGAGGGCCAACTAGAGACGACGCCTTAAGTAGTAAAAAAACATGCATATTTGCGAGACACCAGAAGATACGAATTCAGGTCCTGAAAACATAATAAAAAGGAGGCGGAAATGTCTCAAGCGCAAGCTCAGTGACCGAGAAAATAGTATATAAATAAAGCAAGTACGCAATCACTCGTCTGAGTAACAAAAGGGAACGCATGTAGTCGGATTTAAAATCAGGCCGAATCGACGAGCATATCTTTCAAGTCAATAAGTATTCTTGACTGCAGGCGATAGGACGGGAGGCTCAAAGACTCTGAGTCTCTGACTGAGGCTCTGACTCAAAGACTCAGAGGGTGAAGACACACTGCAGTGAACCGGAAGGACGAGCACAAGAATTACGACATCTTCGGG